ACAGAAAAAGAAACCAGTCAGTCAAGTCGTTCAGTAAGTCAGTCAAGTCATTCAGTAAATCAGTCAAGTTGTTCAGTAAGTCATTCAGTAAGTCAGTCAGTCATTCAATCATTCAATAAGTCAGTCAGTCACACAAACTTACGTTTACCTCTTTTTATGTATACATAGTAACACTTCATTATGGCAACAAGCTGTCTTGTCTGATATCTTTGTTTCCTTCATTAATTCCAAGACTTAATTAAATGCTTGCACCTTTTCTTGCCACTTTGAGCAACACTGGTATGCCTACTGGGTGTCATGATTGCTAGGCAGATGCAAGATATAGCAATTAAAAGATCAAAACACAATTCACAATCACAAGCTTGTAGCAGAGAAGTTGGACTGGACACGTATGAAGTACGAATGCTAGGATGGTGGGGTGGTGGTGGGGGGGGGTAGCTGGTGACAGCGGGAGGTCTCCCCCGCTAAACCACAGCAAGGCGGCCGCTTGAGGAAAAGGGAAGTTTTTTTTTTCCTTCCCATAAACTGAACTATGTTAAATTCATCATACAACGTGTTACACAAAATTGTGCCGCAATTCTTCAATCATGCTATAACCAAATTGTGCCAAATAAACTCGTGCTAAATGACGGTCAACTGTACTTCTCACCTCTTGCCCTACATTAAGACTACAAATATTTTAATGTAAGTAATGAATGTACTGTGTATGTATTTTACTTTTCATTGTGTTTTTTAATGCCTAGTTCTATTACTTAATATAAGTTAGTGTAAACTTGTTGTCTGGCATTTACAGTGGAGCCTCACTTTTTGGCCGTAATCTGTTCCAGAAGGTCAGCCTAAATTCGAAACGGCCTAAATTCGAAGCAGTATTTTCCATAAGAATTAATGTAAATACAGTTAATCCGTTCCAGGAGGAGAGGAGTTTCTTTGGAAGCAGGACAAGATAATCCTTCAATATGACGCTAATATCAACGTCATAATTGATCTAATATGACATAATAAACAATGTAAATAACATAGAAACCTCATATACACTCTAGAATGAATAAAATATGTCATTACGTATGTGAGGAACGGCGGTGGTAGTTTTGTTATTGTTGGGTTATCAGGGCCACTGGCAGCATAAGCCGTACATATAGTAGCGGTGGTGGTGGTGATGGCGATGTTGTCAAGTGGCCCTATATACCTTCAATAACATTGAAGGAGTTAGTTTTCGTGTCCTTTTTCTATTGCTATATCGCTTAACTTACTTGCTATACTGTTAATACTACACTTTATCACTGGCTGGGGCTATAGCCTTTATCAACTCCTGCTTCTTTAGTATTGTACACATCGTAGAATCACTGAATCACTGAAGAAGGCACATTATCCCCTCTCTCTTCCTCCTCCACTTTCGTACTCTGCTACAGTTTCTTTCTTCAGTTCTGTCGTGTCTCACTTTCTTTACCAAAGGTCTAGCACTAGAAAGTTTCTTTGGGCCCATGGTGGCTTATTTCACAGTCGCACTTAACCCTTAAGCTGTCCAAACGTAGATCTACATTTTTTCAACATTTGAAAGTATGTAAAAAAAACGTAGACCTTCTTTTTTTTTTTTTACATTTGAAAACATGTAAAAAAACTTTGACTTACTTTTTTTTTGTTATATTTGTAAATATGTAAAAAATGTAGATCTACTTTTGGAGCACTGCGCATGTGAACGTAGATCTGTTTGGACAGTTTAAGGGTTAATAAACAAACACAAAAACCAATGGATTTTAATTAAAATGTTTGGATGAATGTGCAGAGTATATGCTCATTCACCGAAAGACACAGGGAAACTGACTCACCAAAGTGCAGAGGCCCTGTGGGAGAGGCAGGCTAACACGTCTAATACGGCTGACTTACGAGGCACCGGCCAAAATATGGAGCAAAATTTCTGCCCAAAAGCCAGCTTAAATACGAATCAGCTAATAAAGCAGCCGAAAAACGAGGTTTCACTGTACAGTAGGGCCCCACTTTACGGCGTTTTGCTTTACGGCATTCCACTAATACGGTCATTTCAAATTATGACCAAAACTCGCTATACGGCTGCCCCCACCTGACTTTCTAATATGGTCACCGCACCCCACCCGGTTTGTTTACATTCTTTGTGAGATCCGTAAGCACTAAGTCTCTCCATTATGTCTGGAAACTCCAAAATTTTAAGTGTTTTTAAAAGTTATTTCATATTTTATATATACAGTGGAACCTCAAAAATCGAACTTAATCTGTTCCAGGAGCTAGTTCTAAATTAGAAAAGTCTGAAATTCGAAGCAATATTTACCATAAGAAATAACGGAAATACAATTAATCCGTTCCAGAAAACCAAAAATATTCACAAAAATAATAGATTTTATGGAGATTAATTGCAGTTTTACATACAACAGATGCTATAGTCTTTAATTATGTATAGTAATATAAAATAACATTTTTACTTACCTTTATTGAAGATTGGTGATGGCATCTGGAAGATAGGGAGGAGGAGAGAGGGAGTTGGGGTTATTGTTTAGAAGGAGAATCCCCCTCCATGAGGACTTCCGGTATCAAAGCCCTCTCTGGGGTTGCTTCCCTTCTCTGTATTTTAATGCCACTAGGACCAGCTTGAGAGTCATTGGGCCCCAGTCTCACAAAATAACTGTCTACAGTCCTCTGTTCTGTCTCACAAAATAACTATCCACAGTCGTCTGTTTCTGTCTCGCAAAATAACTGTCCACAATCGTCTGTCTCACAAAATAACTCCACAGTCGTCTGTTTCTGTCTCACAAAATAACTGTCCACAGTCGTCAATTTCTGTCTCACAAAATAACTGTCCACAATCGTCTGTTTGTCTCGCAAAATAACTCCACAGTCTGTCTCACAAAATAACTCCACAGACGTCTGTTTCTGTCTCACAAAATAACTGTCCACAGTCGTCTGTTTGTCTCACAAAATAACTCCACAGTCGTCTGTTTCTGTCTCACAAAATAACTACACAGTCGTCTGTTTCTGTCTCACAAAATAACTGTCCACAATCGTCTGTTTGTCTCACAAATAACTCCACAGTCGTCTGTTTGTCTCACGGACAGAGCGGGCCAGCGGACAGGTCCCGTACCTGGCGGTCCGAAATTTGAAACGCATTCGATTTTTGGTACACAGTTTGTCCGAAAAAATGGTCTTATTTTCAAAACGTTCGATATTTGGTATGTTCGATTTTCAAGGTTCCACTGTACTCTGATAATTACACTTATGTATACCTGTACTTAAATAAACTTACATACTGTGCTGGCGTGCAGGTACACATTAAAATCAGTAAGAGTGTCTCATGTCTCCAAACATCATATTAGTAATAATAATAATCACCGAGTCTCATTTAAATGTCGTATATTACGTTAATGTACACATTTTCATTAATCTATATGATATTTTTTCAAAATTATATAATAAAAACGATGCATAACATATAAATATGATAAATATACCTCACAGTAGAATAAATAAACATAAATATGAGATGTGGTAGCAGACGACTTGCACAAGTGACGCCATATTAGAAATAATAATAATCACCGAGTCTCATTAAATGTCGTATATTACGTTAATATACACAATTTCATTAATCCATCCATGATATTTTTTTCAAAATTATATAATAAACATGATACATAACATATAAAGATGACAAATACACCCCACAATAGAATAAATAAACATAAATATGAGATGTGGTAGCCAGATAACTTGTACAAGTGACGGCAAGAATAACATTTTCTCTAATCTAACATAAGAGAAAATGTGTTACTGGGGGTAACTGTAGAAAATTATTCCTTTCATATGTATGTAAGTAAGTTTATTCAGGTATACACAAATACAGTTACATAGATTATCATACATAACAGCATATGTGTAGAGAACCTAAGATAACCCAAAAAAGTCAGACAGAGTGACTTCCATTGCCTTCACTCAGAGCATCATTTCTTCTCAAAATGATGTTACATGAGAATGGGAGTGTTCTTTATTTATTCTACCATATCAATGTAGAGACAACCTGTACATAATGTAACTTGTACACAAACCAGACGTGTACACTTTGTTGTTTACAAAACTTACCTTCGCCTGGTTTGTTTACATAACTTGGCGCCTGTCCTCTCTCATGCACTCATTCTTTCTCTCTCTCATTTATTCGTTTTATCTCATTTACTTGCTCCTGACTCTACATTAAGACTGCAAATATTTTAAGGTAAGTAATGAGTGAACTGTATATGCATTTTATTGCTCTGGGATGCTTAAATGTAATAGAATAATATGTGTGGGTGGGGTGGCCTGGTATGGTAGCCCGGCTGACTACCATACATACCACACTTGATTTCTTACAATAAACGCTACTTGTCTCACCCTAGATTAAGACTATAAATATTTTAAGGTAAGTAATGAGTGCAAATGTTGTGTTTTATTGTACTTTTTTTATTGTTTTTTGATGCTAGTCTATTGCTAACTTAATAAATGTTTGTGTAAACTTGTTATCTAGTATTTGTATGCATTTATAAGTGGAAAGAAAGGGTGTTCCACTTTACAGCGATTTCCGCTTTACGGCGGTAGCCTGGAACCTAACCTGCCATATAAGTGGGGCCTTACTATACTGTACTGTTGAATTTGGATAGAAAATTTAATACTCTCAGGAGTTCAGAAGTAGCATATGAAAATCTTCCTTTCCATGTACTGTCCTTTGTTTTGCAGTTGCTTACTTTACTAAGGGTTGAAAATATTAATTGTTTTTCTCTGGCTTTGAACTATTGACTGCTCAGTTTTACTGTAACTTATTTTGAAAAATAAGGTGTGTTGTGGGGCTGTCTATTTGTCATTATTTCTCGTCAAAATTCCCAACTAATAAAATGTGTTGCTACTGCCCCCAAAACCATCTCCAGGTAAATACAAAGTAAACTATTAATTTGTACTTGGCTGTGTTTTCTAGTTCACAGTGTAATTTTCATTATTTTCTGATGCAGATACAGCAAACAGGAGAGCTTGCTTAGTGTGGTGGTGGAGAGAGCAAGGAACCTGTCCATGCTCAACACAGAGGAAGGCTGTAAAGTGTAAGTTTGTGGTTTTCTTATTTGTGAAAATAGAAGTCTAGTGTTATAATTCCCTGGAAAATAAGTTTATTATATGAAGTTGTGTAAATACCAGCACACTTCATTACCACATAGCTAGGGATTTTGTATGAATAATCTTATTTGTCACTTCCTTGTCTACACATCCTTATAAACTGACAGGTCAATATTTTGGCTAGGCTCTTGTTTAAGTCATACATATGGAAAATGCATACACATGGAAAATGTCCATATGTATATAGTTTAATCAAATATTTTAATGCCGATGCCCAGTGAGGGTGGGATCAAGTGAGTCTTCTATAGAAGACCAAGCTACACTATTCAGGGAGGGACAGGTCAGCCATCACTAATCCGGCAATCAGTAATCTGGTTCCATCAGTAATCTGGTACTAATTTCGGCTAGCATAATTTCAAATTTCTGGGGTTGCCACACCAACCTACCACTACTGTTGGGCGGTGCTATTTGTTACAAAAGTCATTCCAATTTCTTTTTCTCCATTTATTGTTACAACCTGCTCACTGTTAGCCCTAGCCATGGTTCCAATGAATAAAAGAAATGCTTCTCATTGTGTAAAGCACATACACTGTACATAATCCATAAGAGATAAGGTGGCTTTGAAGCCACTGTCAGTTGCCATGAGCTTAGCTCACTCACTTAAGCTGTGACTGGTAGATTTGGCCCTGCTTATGAGAGAATAGGTTGCGTGGTAAGTGTGCACTATATAAAAAAAATCCTGCAGCATACAGTGCATGAGAAAAAACTGCAACCGTGATTTTGGTGTAAAACAGTGACTTTGCGGTGTATTTTCATATGGCTAAATTTTATGGTTGTATTCGTGTTTTTTGTCTCATTTGATAGATTGGTTTCATGATGGAAAGTACCTTGAAATTGAGCTCAAAGTAGCAGAAATGTTCAATTTTTCCCAATGTTCAGGAGCAAACAGATAATGTCACCGTCCAATACGTGTCCAACTCTCTAGTCTAATATGCAGTCACGAATGGGTTGACATTATTTATACAAATATTACAATAATGCAGTAGTCTGCATAACAGTAAATCTATTTTTTGTTTGAATAAAAATTCAAAATGGAAAACAAGCGTAATATAAGTGGGGCCTGGAAATGTGACTAATGAACAGAAAAATGTTATTTTAGTGCCAGTAATGTCTACAGTGGTTATTCTGGATCCTATTTTGAAATTGGCATCTCTTGAAATTTGTGTGAAATTGCTCAAATTACTGATTTCTGACCACTTTATTGGGTAGTTGAAATGGATGAATGGGTGGTTTCTTGTACTCAGTCAACAGAATAGAAGGAATGCCATCAAAATAGCTGTGAGTTTGGTAGACTGGAACAAAGGAATGGCCCAAAAATAGGGCATAAAGTGGGTGAAATCACCAATGTGTAAATATCGCAGATGGTTTAAAGTGTATTCTAACCTAACCACTCTACCATCCGACAAAATCACTAATCCAGCACCCTCCAGGTCCCGATGATGCCATATTTGTGATGGTCAACCTGTACTATTATCTTGTTATATGAGTGTAAAGCAGAAACCTGCTAAACATCTGCACTCTGGAAAGATTGCTGGTCTTTTCTTTATATCTTATGAATACAGTAGGGCCCCGCTTTTTGGCATTTTGCTTTACGGCGTTCTGCTAATACGGCGATCTCAAATTATAACACCAAAACTTTCTATACAGCAAGCGGTCTTTCAAATACGGCGTGCGCCACCCGGTTTGTTTACATGAGCACATCTCTCTATTATGTAATAATAACCACTCTTGGGCACATTAAATGTCTAATTTTATGTCAATACATGTATAGACATTTTCATTAATCCATCTATGATATTTTCTTCAAAATTATATAAGAAATGGGTTACATAGCATATAAACATGCTGTTACATGCTATGGAGGTGTGGTTGCCAGGCGGAGGGAAAACATTAAGTACTGTAATACAGTGGACCCCCGGTTAACGATATTTTTTCATTCCAGAAGTATGTTCAGGTGCCAGTACTGACCGAATTTGTTCCCATAAGGAATATTGTGAAGTAGATTAGTCCATTTCAGACCCCCAAACATACACGTACAAACGCACTTACATAAATACACTTACATAATTGGTCGCATTCGGAGGTGATCGTTATGCGGGGGTCCACTGTACTAATAATAATCACTCTTGGGCACATTGAATGTCTTATTTTACGTTAATATAGACATTTTCATTAATCCATCTATTTTCTTCAAAATTATATATGAAACACGTTACATACCATATAAACATTTTATGTTTATATACTGTGGAGGTGTGGTAGTTGGGCAGAGGGAAAAAATTATATCACTCCTCTTAACCTGTAAACGGTCCAAACGTATACAGTGGAACCTCTACTTGTGAGTTTAATCCGTTCCATGACCTTGCTCGCAACTGGATTTTCTCATTTGCAGAGTCAATTTTCCTCATTTAAATTAATTGAAATGCAATTAATCCATTCCAGTGGAATTCTGTACTTCAATAATTTCGCTAATATCAACTCTACAGCTTATTTATCTATCTCACTTCATCTAATATGACATAATAAACAATATAAATAACATAGAAACCTGATTTATACTCTAAAATTAATAAAATATGTAATTTATGTAGTGGTATGGGCGGTGTCGGCGGTGGACAAGAGTCTGGAGACCGGACAAAATACTTCTTGAATGATTTTGCTAATATAATTTATACGGCTTATTTATATATCACAGTTCATCTAGTATGACATAACAAACAATATAAATAACATAGAAACCTGATATATACTCTAGAATGAATAAAATATGTCATTATATATGTGGCGGTGGAGGCAGCCGACGAGAGAGTGTCTAGAGACAGGACAAAATACTCCTTAAATATTTCACTATCATCAACTCTACGGCTTATTTATCTATCACAATTCATCTAATATGAAATAATAAACAATATAAATAACATAGAAACCTGATATATACTCTAGAATGAATAAAATATGTCATTACGTAACAGGTGGGGACGGCCACAACTGCTCCCTCTTGGTTGTGGTAAACACTGCCATCTAGTGACGGCCTTTTGAAGCCATCTATTATTATAATTATTATGTAATACATTATTATTATATATATATTATTAGTATTATATGTATTATATTATTATTATTATTATTATTATTATTGTATTGTATTATTATACTATTATTATTATTATTATTATTATTATTTTTTTTTTTTCAACAAGTCGGCCGTCTCCCACCGTAAATAATTTGTAATTTTTATTCACACAAAAAATATAAGATTTGCTGTTATGCCTTATTGCAATAATTGTATAAATAATGTCAACCCATTCACTACTGCATATTGGAATGGACAGTGACTTCATTTGTTTACTCTTGAACATAGCCAAGCAATGGAGCATTTCTCCTATGTTGAGCTCAATTTCAAGGTACTTTTCGTCGTGAAAGCAATCAAAATCATGTCTATTTCTGTAATATATCTTCCATTCTATTAAATGAGACCAAAAAAACGAGAATACAACCATGAAAACCATACGAAAATACCGCTAAGGGGTGGCTAATTGCTGAGAAGTGAACTCCATTATTTATGCTCTGATTTCTTTCATTTTTGGTGTACGTTAAGAAATATCTTTCCATCATACATTGCCTAAGTTTCAATAAGATAGTCCAACAAACATATGAAATACAATTCCCTAGATCAAGAGCAAGAGCCCCTCACCAGCATCAAGGAACCTGGCTTGAGGTCTGCCTGCTTATGGAAATTTTGCTCATGTATGGAAGCACAAAATCGACCCATTGACTGCTCGTATTTGGAAAAAGTCGCACGTGGATGCGCTCACAAGTAGAGGTTCCGCTGTATATATATGTTCTTACCACTAGTGCCCCAGACATATAAACATTTTATTTTTTCCTGCCTTCAAATATGGCACGATTGGACTGAGATGCCTTGTCAGCATAGAATGGGTCAGAACACTGAGTGTGCACTGTATTAAAAATCTGGGACCACTTATTACCTTGTGGGAGCACCAGTTCAAATTAGCGGCCAGCTAGAGCAAACAGCGTGGCAAACACCTGGAATTCACTGATTTCATGTAGTATTAACTTTCCCATTTTAAGAGAAAAGTGATGTTGACCCCAAGTTTAGTGGCTTTGAGGTGGATGTGGCCATAAGTGGTTGAGGAAATATCAAAAAACCTTGATAATAACCCATGTGCAACATTTGTGCAACACCCTTTCAGGATGTCTTATAACCTATGCCCTAAGTAAAGAGAAACAATTCTGGAATGTAATACTTGTTCAACAGGCTGGCTGACTGGCTGGCTGGCTGGCCAGCTGCATGGCTGGCCGGCTGCTGGCGGCCTGGCTTTGTTTGTCTGTCTGTGTCTATGTCTGTCTCTATCTGTCTCACAGGTACACATAAATACAAGTATGCATAGTGTAAATTACCTAAGATAACCCAAAAAATCCAGACAAATTGCTATACTCTGCTTGAAGATATGAGTAAACGTGATGTTGCAGTCATGTGGCTCTCTCTGAGACAGAGAGCTAGACGGATAAACAGATAGACAGGGAGCTTGACAGACAGACATGTTTGTGCACCAGCAAATCTCGTCTTATCAAGTCTTATCACCGCACCCTCGCATATGCTCATCATATGCCAGCTCTTATCTAATGTTATCTCATCACATCACTGTCAGGGGTGGACTGAGGCTTGTTTTTCATGCATTTTGAAAAATTGCTTTTGATCTAGATAACAGAAAATTGGTGTCCCAGCGATAGTGTATCAGAGGCAATGATTTTTGAAAAGGCAAAACTGATGCATGCCGATCTTTTGAAAAACAAGGCAAGAACGAACCAAGAAAGTGAAGTGTTTAAAGCCAGCCAAGGCTGGCTTGATAATTTTAAGAAGAGACTGGCATTCACAGTGTTGTGAGGCATGGAGAGGGAGCCAGTGCTGATAAAGATGCTAC